CCCTTTAAAACGGACAGCCGGGTTGCCAATTTGCAGTAACACAGTCTGGATCATCTTAAGTTTGGAGATCCATTATGAAAGAAAAAGATCTTGCTCCCACTTTGCTCTATACGCACTTTCACATTTTCGCTTCATCGCCGCCACCTATATTTACTATCGTTCACGAATTATTATTAACAAGATGTTATCACTATGAAATCTAATGCGAATACCAAACTAAAGTACGTTTCTTTTATGTTTGATTGAAATATTAACCAACTCGTGTTAATTCGTTTTAAGATTATCAACTTTATACTCAACATCTTTTAAAGTTGTTTATTGAATGTGATACAAACAATACGAGAAATCAAGAAATGCAGGGAAATCCCCAACTTGATGGCGAAGTATCTAGGGTTGTCATTTTCGTCATTTTAAGTTGCCATATTGAAATCTATTTTTAATACCCCAATACTGCCAAATACGGCCAGGTTTTATAAAACGTCAACCGATAATGCCAGGGGCTAAAATAAGAGGCCAATCCTGCCAAAATGGCAGGAATCTGCCACATATGGTCACATTAATATAAAGTAACAGTAACGTCAAAGCTATTATGAACTCATCATCATCATCATCATCATTACAGCCCTTCACAAGTCCACTGCTGAACATAGGCCTCCCCCAAAGAATGCCACAAAGCACGGTCCTGGGCCACCTGCATCCATCGACTTCCTGCATGTCTTACCAGGTCGTCACTCCATCTCGTGGGGGGACGCCCTACACTTCGCCTATCGGTACGAGGCTGCCACTCGAGAACCTTTCTTCCCCATCGGTTGTCGGTTCTTCGAGCTATATGGCCGGCCCATTGCCACTTCAGCTTACTAATCCGTTGGGCTATGTCGGTTACTCTGGTTCTACTGCGGATATCCTCATTCCTAAGTTTATCACGCAGAGAAACTCCGAGCATAGCCCTCTCCATAGCTCGCTGAGCGACCTTGAGCTTCCTCATCCGGCCAGCAGTGAAGGACCACGTCTCAGTTCCGTATGTCATCACTGGCAACACGCACTGGGTGTACAGTCTCGTTTTCAAGGTTTGAGGTATACCTGACGAGAAGATGTGCCGTAATTTCCCGAACGCTGCCCAACCGAGTTGAATCCGTCGATTGACCTCTCGGTCGAAGTTGGACTTACCTAGTCGGACTATTTGTCCCAGGTAAACATACTCATCAACAACTTCGAGCTTAGTGTTCCCAACAACTACCGGCATAGGTGTGACATGGACATTAAACATGATCTTAGTTTTGTCCATGTTCATCTTAAGACCTATCCGTTGGGAAACACTATTGAGGTCATTGAGCATAGTGCTTAGGTCCTCCAGCGATTCTGCCATAAGGACTATATCGTCGGCAAATCGAAGGTGAATGATGTACTCGCCATTGATGTTGATACCGTATCCTTTCCAGTTCAGAAGCTTGAAAACGTCTTCCAATGCAGCGGTGAAGAGTTTCGGGGATATGAGGTCACCCTGTCTTACACCTCTCTGCAATTGGATAGGTTTCGTACTCTGGTTCTGTACTCGGATAGTCATCGTAGCCCTACTGTACAAGCACTTCAACACTTCGATATACCGACAGTCAACTTGGCACCGCTGAAGGGACTGCAGCACCGCCCAAATTTCGACGGAATCAAAGGCTTTCTCATAGTCCACATACGCCAGACATAGTGGCAAATTGTACTCTTCGGACTTCTGTACAATTTGCCGAAGGGTATGTATGTGGTCTATGGTGCTAAAGCCCTTTCGGAAACCGGCTTGTTCGGGAGGCTGGAAGTCGTCAAGTCTGCGCGCAAGACGATTCGTAATTACTCTCGAAACAGCACGTAGACACGGCTCAGAAGGGAAATCGGTCTGTAGTTCTTCAAGAGAGCGTTGTCACCTTTCTTGAAGAACAAGACCACCGCACTTCTGCTCCACGCCTCCGGTGTAATGCCACCATGGAGGACGGAATTAAAGAGCCTCTGAAGGACTTCAAGTACCGGTTTTCCACCCGCTTTCAGAAGCTCCGCTGTAATTCCATCCTCGCCTGGGGCCTTACCGTTTTTAAGGTGCTGGAGAGCCATTCTAATCTCGCTCAGACTGACGTCCGGGATATCTTCGGAATAGTGTCGGATGAGACTCGCTCTTGGATCGTTACTCACACTTGCGTGTGGCTCCAACGATGACATGTACAACTGCCCATAGAACCTCTCAATCTCACTCAAAATCTCAGGTGTCCCGGAAACGATGCTGCCACATTCTGTCTTCAGCTTTGACAGGTGGCTCTTTCTGGCAGACAGATCTCTGGCAAAGACTTTGGAGCCTTGGTTCCGCTCGATCGCTTCTTCAATACGAGCTGTATTGAAGTTGCGTAAGTCCCGCCGCATGCATTTGGAGATCTGTCTCTTCAGATGCCTGTATGCTTTTAAGTCTGTTGAAGAATGTAGCTTCATCTTCCGTCTAACAGCCATGAGATTAAGAGTGTGATCGGAGAGTTTTTGTGTTCTTCTGCAGCGGGTCTTGCAGAACTTAGCTCCGACCGCATGGACAGTTTCCACGAGCTTGTCATTCATATCGTCCACTTCATTTCAGTCTTCTAGACACTGAAAACGGTTTTGTAACTCGAGCTGAAAGGTTTCGGGACTTTGGATTAGAGCACGAGGGGGACGGAGCGTTGACTTCATTAGACGAGACCTCTCCAACTTAACGTTTAGGTTCAGTGTGCCTCTAACCATTCGGTGATCGCTACCAGTTTTCACCCTCGCGATCACGGAGACATCACTGAACAGTTGTCGACTGGTCGTCATAATGAAGTCAATCTCATTTTTTGTCGAACCGTCGGGGCTCGACCAGGTCCGCTTCCTGTGGGGCCGCTTCTGGAAGAAAGAGTTCATCATAAAGAGTCCCTCTTTCTCCATGAAGTCGGCCAGCTGCTGGCCCCTTGGGTTCCGTTGCCCTATTCCAAATTTCCCTACTTTCAGCTCACCGTTCTCTCTTGTGCCTAGTTTTGCATTAAAGTCTCCCATTAACACCGTATAATGGGTTTTAGAGGAAAGCATGGCTCTAGAGATATCCTCATACATTTCCTCCACCTCCTCATCGGGGTGTGCCAAAGTTGGTGCGTAAACCTGTATGACCTTCAGCGAATACCGTTTGGTGATTCTGAGTATAAGGTACGCAACCCTCGTCGACACACTCCCGATCTTTACAACGTTGTTAACGAGAGACCTGTGGACGATAAATCCGACACCTCCTTGGGACTGATGGTCGCCCTCCCGGTGATAGAGCAAGTTGCCGGATTCGAGGATTACCGTGTCCTCCCCCTCTCTTCGGACTTCGGATAATCCTATAATATGCCAGCGCAACTTGTCCATCTCTTCTTCCAGCTCCACGATCTTCTCGTCAGTCGTCAGGGTGCGTGCGTTGTACGTTGCCAGGTCGAGTCGTCTAAGGTGGCAACCGAACCTCCACCGGAGATTCTTTGCACCCCCTGCCCCGCCGTTACCATGGTCGCCACCGTAGCCAGGAATAGCGGGGCCGCCGGGGACTGGGGGCCGTTTCTTTGTTACTGTCATTCATAGGGGGGTATTTACCATAGTTGCCACGCTTGGCGAGCGGGTTGGCAACCGCAGTTTTTTTTTATTTTTAGTTTGTTGTTATCAAGAAGATGCTGCTGCCCATCTCCTGCCTGTTTCCCTTTGTCGCCTTTTACGACACCCACGGGAGGATATGGGGTAGTGGATATTCTTGACCGCTACTACACGGCAATTTGTGTACTATGAAGTAATTAAATTTGTATCGTATTTTATTTTTATTTAAATAAATGGTATATTGTATAACTATTTTATTCCATTTCATATAATATGGTGAGGGTCCATCAATCTCTTTCTAGACAGATAATGTTCTTCAAAATACAGTGAAGTTATTGCCATTAATTTGTTTTTATATGTTTAACCATGTTTTAGCACATGTAAGCTTATTAAATGTAAACGTTTATTAAGAAACAGACTGACGCCCGTGGCCGTGGGACACGGTAGATAGCTCAGTTGGTTAGAGCATCGGCACGGATCGCTTAGGTCGTGGGCTCAAACCCCACCCGGTGTCAGTTGATTTTTCGAATTTCTCATTAAATGTTTAGACATTTATTAATTTGGTTGATCTTTACTATGGCTATGTTAATTCAAGCTCAAAATGTACCTACTCTGTTAAGTTGTTCTAAGATCTAAAGGAACGTTTAATAAATAGTAATAGGCTAATAGGTCATTGCGAGACTTGCGAGACTCTTGCTGCAAGACCAAGACCAAGACTGGGAGCGCAATACAAGACTAAGACCAAGACCAGGTGTATTGGCGCAAGACCAATACCAAGACTTACAAAGTCTCGTCTTGTTCTTGCATTTGGGCAACACTACTTGGGTGTGACGCGTTAGAGCCGGTGCTAACTCCGGAATACAAATAATTCAAAGTCTAATTTTTACAATCTATTTATTTGTTTTTTACTTTATTAAGTGGCGAAGCTTGCGAAGTCACTTATTGATTTCACGATGTCTGTCCGTCTGTCCGTCTGTCCCACGATTATCTCGAGAACGGTTTTGAATTTTCAAATTCTGTTTTCAGCAATCGATTACTGATCACCCAGGCATCTGAACCTCCTATTTTGAAACTGATTGCTCAACGGCAACCGTTAGAAACCGCTACAAAGCTGATTGCTTCGCCACTTTGCTATGCTGTTAGCTTGCTAGGTTTATTATTTATTGAGAATATTATACGAAATTTTATTCTGTACATAAGTGTTGCTTGTAAAGGCAACCTCAGCGCCCCTTTGAACCCAGCGCCTAAGGCTTCAGCCTAGTTAGCCTGTGGGTAAATTGGGCCCTGTATAAACATAATATTATACGGTCTTGTACATGTGTAGACGCTTGTCGGCGAAGGCGATTATGTCGCGCATGTGCACGCAGTCTATAATGATTTATCTTCGAAAACATTTCCAGAGCTATCCCGTCGTGTCCTATTTGGGGACGGTGTGGAACATCAAGATGGGGAGCCGTCGAAGAAGACCCTATTATTAGAGCTGAAAGCCAACAACGTGCCCGGACTGTACGTTCCTAAAAATCGCCATCAGAGAGCCGCTGTTTTGGACCTGCTATTTCCTAAGGTAAAATGACCATCGAATTTAAAATTGTTCATACTTATCGGCCGCTAATAGTCCATTGTTGGGCATGGATATCTCATTTTTGTCCATTGTCGATCACTATCAGATGTTTCGTACTTAATCTATACATTCTAGACGAAAATAAAATTGAAGCATCTGTCTGTAATATCGAAATAACTTCTTTTATTGAGCTCAGGGCGTTAATGTATCTGTCCAGGCTAATCTTCAGAACGGCTGAACCGATTGCAATGAAACTTCTCGAACAGACAGAGAGCGATGCCAGGGGCGATCTAGGCTATATTTTATCCGAACACTGAGTTCATATTTAAATTGATACAGTGATAAGATAAAATAAATGCTCTTTGATGTTTATCTTTTTTTATAGGATAAGGGTGACAAACGAGCACACAGTCCACCTAATGGCAAGTTGTTGCTGTGGCGCATAGACATCTACATCAATCTTCGATTACGGATCAAAATGCCGATGCGTTGTCACCCATGAGGACTAAGATGGAATACCTCTTTTCTAGTAAAAAGGGTCTCCGGTTCTCTACACTTACCATAATAAACACAGCAGCGTTAATTTGCTATTTTACGCTGGTAATCTGTGAGAGCGTGGTCCTTCGCCGGTCGAGCCGACCCATTCGTGCAACAACTATACCAGTAAGATAGCTGCAGCATGGCTCTACCACGTACAATATCTTCAATCTAAATCTTCATCCATTACAGCCATAAAAGTCCAAAGGTGAACATAGGCCTCTCCCATTTTATCATAGAGTGGCATCCCATAGATGGCATTTTAACCATCTCGTTTACGCCTTGCATAAAATATCCAGACCAGCAGGGGAAGCTGCGTGAAAGGTCTGTTACGTCTGGTACTGCAGTCAATAACAAGGTGTCTTTAAAACAAATCTCGACAACGGAAGAGGCCTTGGTCCAGTAACGGAATTTACGGACTGATTAAAAAGATGTGAGAGTATAATGGAATAGAATAGAGTAGAATAACGTAGAATAGAGTAAAATAAAGTGGAATAGAATGGAATGGCGTGGAATAGAGTGGATTATAGTGCAATAAAATGCAATAGAATGGAATACAAAATAATAGAACAGAATAGTTTCTATTCAATATAGATTACAAGTAATTATTATTGAATGTATTTTTTTTTACTTTCTCCACTGGTTCGGAAAAACCTATGACATGTGAGGAACCAGCAAGAAATGTAGCGGGACTTTACTTTCAAAGTAAAATTGTACAATAAAACACTAGTTGTACAAACTGCTTTCAAAACTTATTTGAGAAACAGCTTGGAAGCGATAACGTCACCACCATCGGAGAGGGTTACGATAACTCAGCAGTGCAATGGCCTAGCGTTTTCGTGAGTCGCGGGTTACATCCCCGCCAAAGACAAGCCTTCAAGTAATCGTTTCGGATCTAAGTGCTTTCCGGGTGTAGTCCTTATGCAAACAATTTGTTAGGCATCCTCGACACGGAAGAATTTTTTAACGTGGTAAATTTTTTTTAAAGAATAACACTTTATACAATTCGTTTAAGTACTTTAAATCCAGAAGTTCTCTGCCGGAATGATCTCAATTCTAACTATGTATAAGTAATGACTAAGGTGGTTGACAAAATCTATTGATTTTGTTGGAAAAAAATCTATTAAAGATGGTTGGCGCGCTAGTAGAACCCCCTGCCCCAGCGGAGCCGCCGCACTTAGCGCTAATGTTCGGCGCGTGGCAGCGCCGAGCAGTGTTAGCCGCTGCCACCACTGCCACGGTCACCGCGTCTGCCAACGACGCCACCCACAGCCCTCCCCCTGTACTGTTACGATACGGGTTCTTCGCCGACGCGAACGTGCAAACGCCCAAGCTGCTCTGTAAGACTATCAACAAGTACGAGGAGAGATTGGAGAAGGACTAGTGAGTTATTTTTGTCATTTTGCACACAGAATACCCAAAAGGCGATAAATACTAGCTATGTACTTTAAATGTATAACATTTCTACAAATAGGAAACACCTAAATCATATTAACGTACTGTTTGTAACCAAATAAAGAACTCTTTCAGTCTTCCCACCAATTAACCATTATCATCATCAATATGGCCCAAAAAAGTCCACTGCTGAACATAGGCCTTCCCAATCGATTGCCTGAAGGAGTGATATATGTCGTAGTAGCACTGCCAATTGGCAGCCGCAGTTTTCTATTATTAATATTGAGTTGTCATCTGGAAGATGCTGTTGCACACCTCCTGTTTAAGTTTCCCTCTGTTGCCTCTCACGACATCCTCGAGCTAGTACAGTGGACTCTCTTACACCGTCACTACACGCCACACTACCAACCATAAACTTTAGTCGTGTAAAAAATAATGAATAGACAATAGCATATTACGTCTTATATCATATCGATCAATAGCCTTTCAAGTCCATTGACATAGGCCTATCCAAAAGTACTACAAATTATGGACGAATATATGAACCTGCTTTCAAGAGAAAGACTTAGCTGCTGACTGATAAAATATTTATTCAATTTAAATATGTCTTTATAAATAATTGTTATTAAAAGTATTTCCACATATCCTGTAATTTTGGGTATTCCGAAATGTTCTATTAATCATATACGCTAGATTTTATTTTCCTTTCATTTTACAGCTGTGAAACCATAGTCCTAATGGTGGCTGTTGGCGTGGCTGAGCCAGCACTTATAGAACCTAATGTCCCGACACCAGACGGACCTCCGGAACAACTCCTGGCCCTAGGACCTTTGCACATCAGCGAGGACACCGTCGTCGGCGAACTGGAGTGCGCAAGGTTCTTCCCACCAGGCTATAGTGAACCTGAAGCCAAGCCTAAGGCTAAATCCAAAAAAAAGAAGAAGGTAATAATTTCCGCATCACTTATTTATTCTATCCAACGTAATATAATAGATTATATGATTACATTTTATTTAATATAGGTAAAAAAAATATTCACTGATAATCATCGTGTTTTTATCACTGATTCGAAAAAGACTGTCCTGAAAATTAAATACTCACCTTAAAAGACAAAACACTATTATGCCTTAAAATTTCATAGTATGAGTACATAAACCGCCCATCCCGTCAAAACTGTCGGAACCGCCCATCCCGTCAAAACTGTCGGAACTGCCCATCCCGTCAAAACTGTCTGAATTAGTTAATTGTAGTTTTGCAGCTCGTGAAGGAAAACATTCCAACACACTCAGTTCATCCTCATCGTCATCATTACAGCCTTTCACAAGTGCACTTGGCGCCTAGATATTACCACAAAGCACGATCTTGAGCTACCACTGGCTTCCTGCATGTATTACCGAGTCGTCAATCCATCTATGGGGGAGGGAGTAGGTGGGATGGGGTCATTATTACTTTATCACATTCAGATTTAAATTTTTTAGAAAATGCAATTTGTAATTGATTGCAAAACAGAGTGCGTGCATTTTTTACAGTAAGTTAAGCAAGCTTTCGGCATCACTTGATATGCACTTAGAGGAAATGCGGGTGGCCTTTTCCCCATACACAATCTCGCCTATTTTTTTTTTGTTTTATGACCTTTAGTAATGAGTTTTTACAGTAAAATATATATCAACATCTTCTATGTCGCTATGTTTTCCTTTTTGATGATACATTATCTTTATAAGCACTACACCCATACAAAATGTTCAATATTGCCTACATAATACCTCGTATTTAGACAAATAAAGTTCAAATTTGATAACTAATACTGAAAAAAGAAAAACATAGGGACACACATCGATCACTAATAAAAAACTAGATACACAATCCCATGCAAAAGTTTTCTAAAAACTGTCGCCCACTGTTTTGACGTAATTCTAGTTGAAATAAATATACATTAATGTAAATTCAACCTTAAATGCATTGCCTAAAGTTGTATTCACAAAGCTACGTACAAATTAAAAGCGCACCCAAATGTTCGAGTGGGCACTCATTCGGTAAGGACATTTTTGTCACTGATTGTGTACACAGTATACATCCTTCTTATTCAGTTCATGAAATATCTTTTAATTTGGTCCAGTACTGAAAGAGGAAATGGTAGAGAGCCAAACCTCGAATTATGTCTTTTTACTTAGGCTATTCAGTCGGATCAACAGTTTAGCGCTCGGCGACAGAGATAGTTTCTTCAAATATCTAATTTTCAGAAGTCTCTTCTGGTTTTCTAGGATTGCGATGCCGCTGTATGACGGCCGTAATAAAGCGGTGAAGGACAACACTATAACGTTATCTATATAAAAAAAAAAGATAACGTGGTTTCCTAGAGAGCGGGTATTGGGTACCGTAATATGAAAAAGTGTTAAAATAAAATAAATAAATAAATAAATTTTATTTCGTTTTTAAAAGTAAATGCCTTAAAAACTAGTAGATTGAAACCTCCATTTAAGCAAATAATGCCTGTGTTTGGAGGGTTATTATTTTATTTATTATTTGTGTTGCCGCATTTGCATGACGGCCGTCTTGACGGTGCCGGATATTCTGTTTGTTTTTCTACGTTGGTGGTTGTGTCTCATACTATATGATATAATAATTGATTACAGAAGCGTCAAGAGTCAAAAGACGATGCTCTGGATGACGTAAACAAAGAGTTAGCGTCAGAGGCAGCGGGAGAGGGAGAAGTGAACGGGGAAGTAGACGGCGGTGGAGAGACTGCGGAAGGGGACGTGGAGGGGGAGGGGGATGGCGACGTCGAGGCTGACGATGGGGAAGGGGATGAAGCAGAAGCAGAGGATGAGGATGAAACGCAAGTTGTGGATAAAGCTACATCACCGCCACCAGCTGTTGTCTAAATACGTTTTTATAATTACTTCGAAATTCTTAAAATAGTTATAAAATACTGGTTTTACCAGTAGTAATACAAATACAATAGCAATACTTCCTTATGCAAATATCTGTGAAGATGGCTTGATGCCGTTGGTTTTCCGAATAAAATTAAAAAAAAACTTTTCAGCGACAGTGAGTATTTCTGTTATCGCAATGTATATAGACGAAGTTAGCACTAACATTAAGGAGTTGGTATAAAAAACAGCTATGTCCAATTTACCAGCCTTCATCCATTTATTTAGTACGTGACTTTGTTTCAGATTACCAAGTCAATGTTAAATAATTTCAATACTGGTCCCTCGAGTGACGAAAATTCTTAGACGAACAGCGATCTTTACATTCTACATCCATCATATGTTACGTTTTATTCGTAATGAGAGTCATAATTTGGTTACGTATAACATCCTAATAATTCGCAGCAATATAAATAAAGAGTGTAGCGCGGCAACACCGGACACACCGGTACCCACCGCGCATGCGCGGATCGTTGTATCCAGCCAATGGCAGGCGCCGATTCGCCTCGCGATGCAACCACTCGAGCGCCTCTAGACTCCGTTTCCGCCACGCTAAGAAAGAGTGAACGTGTGCGCTATTTACCTAAGAAACTTGTAATTGTTTTAATAAAATTTATTGTACCGTGCAGAAGTAATATTAAAATAATTGTGAAATTACCTATGTACTAACTTGTGCGCTAGAACCTACTAAACCCCATTAAAAGAGTTAATATAAGTCACACGGTGGCAAAGATCTCGTTGGCACAACCAGTGAAGCCTGTGCATGTAATTTTATACAGATATAGTTGCTTTAACATGAACTGTTAAAGGTAAATTACCCTTAATTGAATTAAATTAACAAAAGACCTACTGTTTTTTTAAATGCTATTTAATTATTATTATTAACGTTACTAATATTCCCTTTGATCACTTCTGGTAAGGTAAAAATGCTTGTGTTAGAAGTGGTTCACGACAGTAGTCGAATGGCGGAAACGAACCCACGACCTTTCGAGTTCGCGGTCCGCGCCCTGCCAGTAGGCTACTGACGCTTCCAAACTGTTACTATTAAAGGTCTTAAAAATCGGGAGCTTTATAAATTACACATGGCAATGCAATGTGCATTTACGATTTCATCGTGTTTTCAAATATTAGATAGTAAAACCAACTGATTTCTCGGTAGATATTAGCATGTCACAACAATTCCATCGACTATTTATATAGATTTCCGTGTACGTACAAAATAACTATTATATTAATTACATTAATATCTCATCATTATTTTCGAATATATGTAGAATTTTAAATTTAATGAATAAATAAAAATATATATATAACTAATTGTTTGTTATTAAAACTTACAGTTTCACACCTTTCACCATAACTATTATTACATCCACGATGCAGGCGAAAGGCGTGTTCTAGGGGTTCACAAATTATCTTGAGCATATTTTTTTAAGAAGAGGGGGCAAAGGAACATGCCCCTCACCTGATGGTAACTCCAACTCCGTCCATCAACTTCCCATACGTTTCACCAACTCGTCATCAGGTTGGATTTAGGTGTGAATTAACCAATGGAACCACTTATCATCAAGTGGGCTGTGAGCTTTATAATCCTCACTTCCTCCTTATTAGTCCATAAACAGTGTACCGCTAGACATGGGCCTAGAGCCTAGACCGATTCGTTGCGGCACCGATTTTCGACAACTTTTAGACAACAAATATTTCATGACACCTAATTAAGTTTAGTTGACATCAAACATCAGTTACACACGGAAGGATACTTGTTTTTAGTGGGTAACTACGTGTTTTTCTACGTGTTTTCTTTGAAATTGAGAGTAAGTGACTTTTTTTATGCAGAGGTTACCAACAATTTTGTACTATATTTTGTTTTCTAAAAAAATCATTTATATAAGTAGGTACAGCTAAATCACCCTGGAAAACCTTGGTTTTTATTACATTAAATTTTCACCTAATAATAATATTTGTAACTATCAAACAATCAAGAACCTTAATTTGGTAAAAATAAGGTTTATAATTCATTAATATTTACACATGTTAAATATTATTTAAATGTTATATAAATGTAAAAGTAAAGTCGATTAGAAAACGTCTAATTAGTAAGAATAGCAAAACAAGTGTTTTCAAAAGGAAACAAACCCAGGCGCTATACGGCGGCGGATTGACGAAAGACTATTTATTAGCGAATTTTTTTTATGCATGAACGGTTTTGAACTGTTTCAAGCAAAAATAAACCTTATACCATATCACAAGAGCACATGGTACTTCGTCGGTCTATTCGGCCATATGATAGTAATAAGACGGCAGTTCAACCATTTAAAGCAAATTTAAACAATAAGACAAACGCATTGTTTTTTTTTTTTAACTTTTATATATATTAAATTTTCAAAATATCCAGAAACGAAGCTGCATGCATGAACTACTTGCAAAAATAATGAATATTTTGTTCTGGATAAATTTTCCAAAAACGCAATTTGAGCGAGTTATAACGATTTTTAAAAAGACACGTCTCGTGTGTCATACGCCACACACAAAAGTAATCGATGCCACGCCTGGCGTGTCATCCGCTCTGAACCGGTTAATAGTAGTAGCGTAGATCTTTCATTAATCGAGCGGATTGGCCCTTGCTGTGTTAGACATATCTTATCTTAGACTATACTTGCCATGTTTTTTTTATAGAATAAGGGTGACATACGAGCACACAGTCCACCTGATGATAAGATTATCTGGCAATGCAGATGCGTTGTCACCCCTGACGACTAAGGTGGAATGCCTCGTTTCCATTAAAAATGGTCTTCGGAGAAAGATCCGTATATAGTTTCAAACCCAGCAGCATTGAGCTGCTACTTTAAGCTGGTATTCTATGAGAGCGTGGTCCTTTCCCAGTCGAGCCGACGCATTTGTGTTACAACCATAATATAATTGCAGCTTGGCCTTACCACATATAGGCTGCAATCTGTCAATCATCTAACATTCATCATTTATTACAGCTTATCCACTACTGAAGATAGGCTTCCCCCATAGATTTCCTCATAGGGAGGATATTAGCCATTGTCGGTTTGGCAAACGCAGTTTTTTGTTATATGTATTAGGTTATCACGAAGATATTGCTGCCATCTCTAGTTTCCTTCTGTCACCTCTTATGAAACCCACAGGAAATTTTTTATAGTGTAGTAAGAGGCAACAGAGGAAAACAAACAAGGAGATGGGCAGCAGCTAATTAGGGTGACAATAACAAGAAAATAATAACTGCAGTTGTTTAACCGTACGCCAAACGTGGCATCTACGGCAAATATTCAACCTAATGAGGCTAGAATCTATGGGACCTCACTATCAGTTAAGGTGAAACATACGGTCTGTTCTCGGCCATATTCCCGCGAGATGGGGCTGAAGTCATCATTTTTTAGTTTATTTGGGTTTTTGTGTAATTGGAACATTATTAAGTCGTAGAAGTAGCAATCGCGGTACTCAGACATTATACTTCATTTTAATAGGTCATATCATTGCCTCAAAATCCATACAATTCAATACAAAGTCCGAAAATAACATCTGTCATTGAATATAGTGTCGTTTACACACACAGACCTGGGTGAATTCTTAAACCATACATTTACGAAAATTGAACACTAGATGGCGTGATTGAAAAAAAATGTTTTCCTTTTTTCTGTATGGGTAGGCAGAACTACAGAACGCCACCTGCTATGATATATATTATGTACGATTCATCATCTGCCTAGCCTTTTTCCCAACTATATTGAGGTCGTCTCCTAGTCAAACCGGATTCAGCTGAATACCGGTATTTTACGATTATGTTATAAAAATAAAAGTTATATTTGTAAAATGAACCGTGGTAGCTCACATAATACGTAAGAAACATAGAATTATTACGCATAGAATACTAGTACGCGCACCGAAAGTGAAGGAAGTAAAACTAACGCGAAACCGCGTAAGTTGACTCAGCGACGCGTCAGTGCGCAACGTCACGTTTTACGGAGAAGAGCTCGCCAAAAATTTTACAAATTACCGTTTATGTTGTAAAATATTGTCACAACGGTGATTATAAACATAAAAGAAGTGATGGTATTAGATTTCACATATAAGCTTATATATTTAATTCATTATGAGTACGTAAAACTAAAAAAATACTTACCTAAGCTCTCATAAACAAATGTTGCTAGTTGTGGGGAAAAAATCACAATTTTCTTTTAAAAATATTTTCTATTTGTGTTTAAAACGTTTGTTCAAGCCCTTAGTTGCCCCGACAAAAGTCGACTGTATTAGGGCCCATGAGTAACATCTTCGACGGGCAACCAAGGGCGGGGCCCAAGTGGCCTATGGATAATTCTAAATTAATGGCAAATAAGCAAGCACAACTTACCGAGTTCCGGAGGTAGGGTTGACCACGGGGTACCAGTCAGGTGATAAGTGAGGTGTATGTAAGTAGTGTGTAGTAGTGTTTTAAATGTAACCTGACATCCCCGATGTAGTCGGACCGCAGATCCACAGGCGCTGCTTTTCTCCAAATGTGCGGTCCCTACAGTAGGCGTTCACCAATCGAAAACTTCTGCTACTATTTTCACTATATCAGTTTATCAACTTTATTGTACATTTAATTAACTTCAATGTCAACCAAATCAACGTTCATCGAAATTAAAACAAGTGACACACGACACAAGTAAAGAACAGTTGGTCAAGGTTCAACGTTCCATGTTCACTTAGCAACAAATTATAATCACGAGAACGAACGCGGTCTCTTCTCGAGTCACAAAGTTCAGCGTTCTCCCGACAAAGCAAAAATTTCTTCGTACGATATTAAAATGCCACACAAGCCACTCGTCGACTCAAATTAATGTCAATCAAAGTTAAGTTAATAATTCAAACTCAATATAAGCCTCTTGTCACGAAACGTACAAATTAGACAAATCAATTCGAGGCGGTCTACACGAGACCCAAAT